TACGCTGCTACGATTATGTCCGCATATGGTAATTCATTGTGAAGCTGCAATGTTTCGAACATAACATGTAGCGACACAAAGACGCTTCTCAGTTTCGAGATTCTATAGCTGGGGCGACGAAAACTTTGATTCAAAAGACTTTCCCATAATTAAAAAATTTTGTATGTTCCTTTCCTCAATTCTCTACGTTACGTGACAAAAAGAAGAATTGGGAGATATGTTCATTGCCGCGAAATAATTTTAGCACGTTAATTTTAACGGCAATCGAGTTATTACGTATAGATAATTCGTTACTATCGGAGGCAGCGGAATATCGGAGTAAAGTACAAAAGTATATCGAGTTAGTATAAGATCGATAATAATTCTATTTTACACAATTACATTAATTCCGTGTCTCTCTTGCTTAAAGAGTTTCTCTTAAATCTTAAATTTTGAATCTTCAATAGTTTTATAAAAAAAAATACCTATGTTTAATTTTCCAATTCCTATAGTTAAACGATAAGAACTGAAGATAAAATATATTTATAGTGTGTTTTGATTTAACAATGTCTCTGCTCTTTTTTGCAAAGTGCATGCGAAACAAGAGCTCTATTCTTGTAATAGTTGCGAATAATCGCATTGGTTAATATGCAAATGGTTAATTGCGAATAATCGCATTTGAAAATTTCTAGAACGGTATTCTGAATAATCGTAAATACGCAATTTTCTTTTCGCAATGTTATAAATGGGTCATATTTTTAAAGAAAAATACGTTCAACGAATATAAAAACAAAAGTTCTTAAAATAAAGAGTAAAATTATATTATTAAAATTTAAATGTAAATTCTAATAAGTTAATTAAAAAAATTACTTGTGTGAGTAAATATTCAATATTCAAAAAATATGAATATTGAAGATATTATATTTAATGCTCCCATTATGAACGTATTATGAAAACATGATAGATTTCGCAGAGAGGCGAAAAATTTTCCACAATATACAACACGATTCTTTTGAAATATAACAGATAAGCATTTTATTTGATTATTTCGTGTTTAAATAGAACCACAGCAAAAAATTTAATACAAATTATTGAACCATATTTAGTTCCTTAAACATGAATATTTGCAGTATATTCCGCAACTAAAGCAACTATTATAAAACTATATATAATAATGAAATAAATATTAAATAAAAAGCTATCTGTGCATAAGTTATAGTACAAATAAAGGAATAACTTACGATTAAAGCTAATTCATGTAAAAAGATGGCCAATTTTCGAGTAAAAAGATGTTATAAAATTACTTTAAAACAAATATTTAAATTATTATATAAATATTATAAAATTTATTAATTCAATTACAAGCTAGCTGTTTACGTTTCAAGCCATACTTGGCGTAAACAGCTTATAATTTATTAAACATTTGCTTTAAATTAATTTTCTAACATCTGTTTCATTGCTCGAAAATTGGCCGCTCTCTTTTACATAATAGTACGTTTTTTGCAAGTGAATTATATATCGAATGGATATTGGAAAAAAATATTTACACTTACGTAAGTTAATCAATAGTCTTCCATAATATACATGAAATTATTCATATAACAAGACAAGAAATTATGAGCTAATAAATAAAACTTCCTAACACATTAGCAAGAATAATTAGAATTAAAACGAGTTGCCCGACTAATTGCCTTCATGACTGTGTGAGCGCATATGCGCCGTGTATATTGTCCAATATTTAATTAAATATGTGATTAATTAGCTAAAGGTTCTCGATATTAAAACTAACGAGTAAGAAGGAAAAGCGGGCTACGAGAATCAAGATTATTTATGAACGAGTTTACGTTATGTAATATTCAATTAATAATTTAATATAAATCGTACGTTTCGACTCTACTTTAAGTCATCTTCAGCGATCCGGTGATAAATTTATTAATTAAATATTACGTAATATAAATTCAAATAATCGCGTTTGACTCTTATATAGCCACTCGTCCAATATTTGTAAAGAAATCGTATATTTTCCGATGTTAAAATATAATTCAAAGGCATTGAAAAATGTAAACGTTTGCTAATGCAAATTCTGTTAAAAAAAAAATCAGAGCACATTTCGACCATTCGAAATATGCGTCTACTTACGTAATATCGCGAATGAGTTCAAGAATAGAGCTCCAGATACAGATGTAACTGATGCGAAATGATTCGCTCCCAGGACGCGAAGCTGGCGAGGATAACTGAAATGTCCCTGCTGGTGAAGAAGTACAGTCACGAAATACAAACAGATCTCAGATAATTGAAATGCTTCCGGAGTCGCGAGCGAAGAAGGTAGGAGGGGGTCGTCGACGAACATTTCCTTTTTCGTGCTATGTAAATTGGATTACCGCGAGCGACCGTTAGATATCAGTGTCGCGCGCGCGAAAAAAATCAAATTGCCCTCGCCGGTGCACCGCTCGTTTCCCTCCTGGTCGACGCGACGCGGCCATTAAACATTCATATTCTCGCGGGCGTAAACTTTAAAATTCTGTCATGAATGTCGAACTTTTCCTTTACCGCGCGGCGTCGCGCGCCCCACTGAAACTTCTGCCCCGACTTAAAGATCGTGAAATGCCGCCCGGTAAAAGAGGGGTAGTCAGAATTTCTTGGCTCTTATGTAAAGAGAGAGAGAGAGAAAGAGAGAGAAAAGAGAAAAAGAATTAATTCGCCGCTAATTCTATTTTCGCGCACTGAATTTCTACTTAACCAGTTGCTTTTTAAATAGTCAGCTCAGAAAAGTCTGGCAACATTTTCCTTATCCCGTATTATTAAAAATTAATTAAAAAATATTAATATTATAGTTTCAAGATATTATCAAGATATTATTAATCTATAAGTATATCTCCTATATTAAAAAAAAATTAATTTCTGGCAGTAGCACACATATTTTCTTTATGCGGTATTATTAAAAATATTAATATTAATCTAAAATAAAATTTATTAATGCAAGTGCATGTATCTTATATATTAAAAGAAAATTTATTTCTGATAGTAACACACATATTTTCTTTATGCGATATTGTTAAAAATTAATTTAAAAATATCAATGTATTAGTTTCAAGATATTTCTAAGATATTATTATTAACGTAGAGAAAGAATTTATACTTTTGAATCAAAGAAAAATACGAACTAAGAGTTTCTTACATTTACGAGTTTTCAGTCACTTTACTATTTAATTACGTTACCATTTCCGAAGTGGATACAATAAGTTTCTATACCACTTTCGCATTTAGAGAATCTTGATTATAGAAAACATCGCATTATATAAAACGCTGTGATCTACGACGGCAGATAAAGAATTGACCGTTTACCTGTAGGTCCGCCCGCGCCGTTGGATTTGGACAGTGGAAGCCAAGGATAACAAGGATTCATTCTCCGACGCGTCGTTTCCTTCATCGATCGTGTCGTACATGCATGTCGCATTTATGTCTCTCACACACATGCCCGTCGACGACGCTCGACGTACGCGCGATATGTGTATCCAGAGAACGTTCAGTGCTGACGAGAAACGGCGCGAAAACACTGCCGGGCGACATTTTACGCTCTGCCGCCGCTGCTGCCATCGCGAAAGTAAACGCGGTTAACTTCGCGCCGGTTCGGCCGACGCGACGATCGCGAACGTTCGTCGACATAGCCACGAACAGATTCGGCTGCCACGCGCGTTGTTTTTCGCACGAACGATTCCGCATCGCTGTCGGGAACGAATATACCGAAGCGAAGACACTTGTCGCGTTCGCGCGTTTTGAACCGGCGAAATAGACAACGAGAGACGCGACGTCGCACCGAGCGTCTCTCGTCTGCGCGAGCAGCCTGGAGCAACCGTGCCGCGAGTCGCGTGAGCCCCGTAGGGCGTGACGTCACGATGCGCGGCGTGTTTAACCTGCGCGCGACGCGCGCGGCATTTGACGTAGCAGTATTTAATTTGTTCAGCAGCCGCGTAGATCGCGATTGTAATAAATATGATGGTGCAATGAAATAAAATACTTTTCGAAGATCGTGACATTACTAGTTTTACATGTGTAAAACGAGTAAACGAGGCTGATATAGCATTGTTAAGTAGAAGGATCCATTCCGCCGCTGCTGAAAATTTCAAGAATCCCTTCTAGTTCGCTCGCTGTCCGCTAGATCAGCGTTCGAGATGCATTTAGAACTCCACAAGAGTAACTTTCTCGAGAGCGTTTTCCAGTACGCCTTGTAGAATATATAGAGTTGTAGAAGAACTTTCTCTCGTACTTGCTTCGGCAGTACATATACTAAAATTGGAACGATACAGAGAAGATTAGCATGGCCCCTGCGCAAGGATGACACGCAAAATCGTGAAGCGTTCCACATTTTTTGTCAAAAATTATGAGGATTATTGAACTTTCTTTTAAATTTATTTTTGAATCTAACACGCGTGTGTGTGAAATCCTTAATTTTTTTCTTTAATTACTTAATTTTGACTATTTGATACAATTTTAAATGCGTTTGTTTTACAAAATAGCCTGTTACTATAATTTTTTAAATAACAAATAAAAAAATGTGATGTATATGTGAGTATAATGAGACAAATAAATTAATAGATTTTTAGTGTAATTCTCGAGCCCGTTACCATTACATGACCGAATCCTAATGCAAGATGACACATAAAATCACAAAATAATTCACATTTTTTGATAAAAATTATGATGGTTATTAAACTTTTTTTAAAAATTTAAAATTTAACACGCATGTTAAATCCTTAATTTTTTTCTTTAATTACTTAATTTTGATTATACTTGATTGAATTGTAAATGTGTTGATCTCACAAAATAATCTGTTAATTTTTTTAAATAATAATGAAATGATTATGCAAAAAGATATAAAATACAAAAAGATGAAATGAAGATGGAATAAATTTGGACTTTAGTGCATTTTTGATCGCCACGTGACCGGAATCGGAATACCGGATCGAAACTTGGTCCTCTCACTCCCCTCTTCACTCCACCGGAGTCAGCAGTCCGCCCTCCACCGTCACCGTCACCACGTTGAAATCTTCGACCACGCTGTGACCGTAGGTTATGGCAGTTTCGTAGTATGGCATTTTGATAAAATCGATAAAATAATTTGCCGAGATATTGAATTAATATTACAAAGCTATTTTCAACAGTCTTATTATATAATCGAAATTAACATTTCGGTATTAAATTATATTATACAAAATTATAATTTATACCGCCCTATTGACGCCACGTGGAGGTTAGAAACCTGAAATTGTTTACACAGTAAGTAGTACATAATTTTATATTAAAAATATTAAGTACCAGCTGGAGTATTTATCATTTACAAAATATAATTTAAAAACATATATGTTGCAAACGGTTGTCGAATAAAAGATCTGTTAAACAGTTTGTAGGCTAGATGGGTCGCAAAGCAAAATTTGATAAAGACTCCAAGGTTCCCAGTGGTCATGGGAGGAAGGCGAAGAAGCAGAGCGATCCGACATTCCCTAAGGGAGTCCTAAGTATGAAAAGATAGTAATACATTTTTGCTGATATTTCTACGAAATTATATGTGAAATTAGCTAATCTATCGGTTCGTGTTACAGTCAAGGAATCTAACAAATTAGGTCACCGGCAGATGCAAAGAGCAAAGAAGAGACTATTGAAGAATCAACAGCTGAAAGAAAATGCGAAGAAGTTACTTAAAAAGAAAACCAATATGGAAGAACAGATACAGCTTAAAAATGTATGTTTCTCGTTTATATGATAAATGTCTGTTATTACTTTGTCTACAACTTTTATATAAATAATCTTTTAGTTAATCGAATAAGAAAGCCATTTTTGGTTTAAGCTTAGATCTATAGCAGCTCAATATTAATTTCCGTGTATGTGTATTATTTATAATACATATACATATGTTCTAACTTATTAAACTGTGCACCGATCACCATCGGACTTGAAACACAGTTATTGTTGGAACAATAAATCCAAGTCCGACAGTGATCGGCGCGCAGTTTAATAAGTTGGAATATATATGTATATGCATTATAAATAATACACGGAAATTAATATTGAGCTGCCTTAGATCTAAGCTTAGACCAAAAATGGCTTGTATTCTTATTCAATTGTATATCATAGCGGTCTTGTTTTCTCTTATTATTAATCTTTTATTTAATTAATTTTAGAAGGAAGATATATTAAAGCAGCAGAAACAAAAGAAAGAAAAGAAAGTAAAATTTGTCAATGACAGTTCTCACAAAGATGACGAGATGGAAATTCAGTCTGATTTAGGATCAAAACTAGAAACAAAGGTAAAGCAAAGTAAAAAGAAAAAGAAGATAAAACAAAAAGATGTAACCAGGAATATAGGAAGTGATAGTGGCAAGAATCATTACAGTGAAGATGATGAAAATAATCAAGTATCCAAACCAGGCAAGAAAGCGAAACAAAATAAAAAAGTGAAAGGCACGAAAGCTAAGACCAATGTGGAACGGAAAAATGATAGTAATAAAAGTAATGATAGTGAGGATGAAGGAATTGAAATATATTCTAGTAATCAAGTATCCAAACCAGGCAAGAAAGCGAAGCAAAACAAAAAAATGAAAAGCATGAAAGCTAAAATCAATACAGAAGGTGAAAATGATAGTAATAAAAATAATGATAGTGAGGATGAAGAAAATGAAATATATTCTAATAATCAAGTAGCAAAACCTGGTAAGAAAACGAAACAAAATAAAAAAGTGAAAAGCACGAAAACTAAGATCAATATAGAAAGTGAAAATGATAGTAATAATGAGGATGAAGAAATGGAAATATATTCCAATAATCGAGCCAAAGTAGGCAAGAAAGCGAAGGAAAGCAAAAAAACTAAAAGCATGAAATCCAAGACCAATATAAAAAGTAGAAGTGAAAGTGAAAGTGATAATGATATGTTATTTAACGGCAATGATGATGAAACTGAAGAAGATGAAAATGAACAAATGGATGAGGAAGATGAAGAGAATACGAGCGAAGATGACAATCAATTGCTCTCTACAGCAAAATCAAAGAAAAACTTGAAGAAAAGGAAACAAACATTTATGGAGGATAACACAGAAAGTGACAGTGAAGAAATGGCATCCAGTGACGAGGAGGAATCTGTTGAAGACGAGCAAATGGACGAAGATGAAGAGGAAAATGATGAGAGTGACGATGATGATTTACTTCCAATAGAAAAAGCTAATAAGAAATTGAAAAAGAAGAAAGAGAAGGAAGAGTGAGTGAATTTTCAGTTACTTTTTTTATACTATAATTTTTCTTTTAAAGATTTTTCAAAATACTATTTTTATACTAATTTTTCTCTTGATGAATTTTTTTTATTTTTTATTAAATAGGAAGCTTGCCGAGGAAGAAATGGATGATATGATGGCACATCAAAGTGTGTTCTCTTTTCCGACTGAGGAAGAACTTGCCAATGTTACTAGCTTAAAAGATATTCAGCAACGAATACGAGATGTCATTATGGTATTGTCAGATTTCAAGAGATTGCGGGATGAAAATAGATCGCGTTCTGAATATACCGAACTACTCCGACGGGATTTATGTACATATTACAGTTATAATGATTTCCTAATGGAAAGATTGATGCAAATATTCCCGCTGGACGAGCTATTAGAATTTTTAGAAGCGAGCGAAGTGCAAAGACCTATGACTATCCGCGCGAATACTTTGAGAACGCGACGACGTGATCTAGCTGAGGTAGGTTTATATCTATATTATAGACTAAATCAATATTATTTTTGTATCCATAGTAATTTACTTATAATGTCGAATCTATTTTCAGGCCCTCATCAACAGGGGTGTCAATCTTGACCCAATAGGAAAATGGACAAAGATTGGTCTAGTGGTGTATTCCTCACAAGTGCCTATGGGCGCAACACCAGAATATCTAGCTGGGCATTATACTATACAAGGTGCTTCCAGCTTCTTGCCCGTAATGGCATTGGATCCAAAAGAAAATGAAAGAATCCTCGACATGTGCGCTGCACCAGGTGGTAAAGCCTCGCACATTGCTGCTATGATGAAAAATACCGGAACGCTATTCGCTAACGACGTAAATAAAGAACGATTGAAGGCTGTCGTTGGCAATTTCCACAGGCTCGGTATTGTCAATTCTATAATCTGCAGTTACGACGGACGAAAATTCCCTACGGTAAGAAAATCTTTCTTCCGTTATTCTCTATAGCTCGCTGTAAAGATTATGGTTTCAAAATTAATGAATGTGACAATTTTCAGATCATGAAAGGCTTCGACAGAGCTTTGTTGGATGCCCCGTGTACAGGTACAGGAGTAGTCGCGAAAGATCCCAGTGTGAAGGTGAATAAGGCAGAAGTGGACATCCAACGCTGTTGCACATTACAAAGAGACCTGTTATTAGCTGCAATTGATTGTGTTAATGCGCGTTCGGAATCAGGTGGTATTATCGTTTATTCCACTTGCTCGATTCTACCGGAGGAGAACGAGTGGATTGTCGATTACGCTCTTAAAAAGCGCGACGTCAGGTTACTGCCTACCGGCCTGGAATTTGGAACCGATGGCTTCACGAGCTACAGGCAACATCGATTTCACCCCTCGCTGAAATTAACTAAACGGTTTTATCCGCATGTACATAATATGGATGGTTTTTTTGTAGCAAAACTGCAAAAATTCTCCAACAATGTTCTTAGTCAGAAAGTTGTGGAGGAAGAAATGTCCGATTAAAATTTTCTTAAAAATTTGTTCAACAATTTTTTTTATAATCAGATTACAGGAATGCTATTATTACATACAATTATTATTATAGCATTACTTTATCTCATTTACATATGCAATTTTTGTTAATTTTTCAATAGTAATGAATAATAATGGATAATATAAAATATATATGTATATATAGAGAGAATTCACATTTTATATCACATGTGTATATAAATACACAGCTTTTTACAATTACTTCACTCATCATTAATATGTATATTGCCTGTTAATAATTGGCGAGATAAAACTGTTATGAAAAGTTACTCGTGAAAATAAGGAAATAATATTTATAATTTCATTACATATTTTCATTGTTATACATTCATCAGTGGAAAAAAATACTTTTTAATTGTTTCTCACAAAGCCTCTTCACTTCATCTATAATAAACAGAAAGGTTATTAGGCAATCATGAGTTCAAACGCATAGAATATATTGTACTTACCATCAATTTCTATAATACTCGCACTTTTCTGCTGTATGACAACAAAAAATTCTCTCAAATTAGACAACTTTCCAATAACCCAATAATCACTTATGGTCTTTATAATTATTTCTCCGGCTTCCTTCATTCTAAAAGTCAATTGATTAACAATAATTCTCATTAACGCATGTGTTTAATGAATTTTGGAAATGTACCTGTTCCTATCGTTGTATATATCAGTAATGATCCTTAATACCTCAGGTGTGGTAAGTACATTAGAGCAACGTCTATTATCTAAATGTATCGTACTTTTGTACGCTAAATTCAACTTATTAAAATACAGATACTTCGTACACGATTCCGGCGTGACTATTACATGTTTAGAGCATTGCTCAGCTACAGAGCTAACTAATGTGGTTAATTGTGGCCCCAGAAAACTGTCTAAGCTTTTGAAGAAATCAATTAATAAACTAGTTTTCTCTGGAAAGTAAAAAAAAAAATATTAATATTTTAATTTTCACGTTGATAAAACAATGTAGTTAATAATAGTTAATATATTTTAGTTTTGACTTACTATCGACGAAGAGACATATTGTAGCGCTTAGGGCTCGATACACTACTAGGTACAACGACACAGGTTTAGTAGAGTAGTTGATAAAAACTTTTGGCGATTTTCCAATTAAACTGGGCTCGTTAACGCTAGCAGGTCCGGTAACAAATCTAAAACAAAATATTTTTAATGACATTTTTACTGCAACCTCCATTTAAATTGCAACGAAAGTATAAAATCTGTTCTTACTTTCCATAGTGTGAAGTAGTGAACGGTGAGGGAGAGTTTCTAGGTATTGAGCCTCCATGCAACTCTTTCTCAAGATGAGCCGGCAAAAGAGTACTCACTAAATAATTATAAACCACTTGCATGTCCTCGGGTTCTAAGCCGCTCCTAAATCACACGTCGCATAAATTTTGTATAAAAAAGTATTCAAAATATGCTTTATGTTAGAGAAAGAATGTATTGCCTTGACTTACCAAACAACTTGGTCATTATAAAGAAATGCTGTGTATTTTACTTGTGTAAACATAGCTTCTACAAGATTCATAAAGCATTGCACTTTGAGAAACGTAATCTTGTCAAGAGGTAAGAATTGTAGACCTTGAAAAACGTCTAGTATATCACTATTACTCAGTTTTAATGAAAGTAGATACTGAAACAAATCGAAAGTGAGATAAAGTAAGGATACGTATCCTAGCATACATGTGTCTAGCTTATTTAGTTTACATTTAATAAACAAATGTGCATTTGCTTACTCGTGAATAAAAATGTTCCAGTTTAAGCTTTAACAGCATCACAGAACCACATTCAGGATCGTTAATGATAGTTTCAAAGGAACCCATGAATAATCTAAACATCATATATGTCTGCTTTAATATAGCTTGGCAAACACTGCTGGATATCTCGTCATTCTGATACTTATTACCGTCTCTTTCTTTATAAATGTATGGTACACCAACAATCTGTAGAATATCAATATAGTTAATTTGTAACTCACCCTAATTGAATTAAATGATTACTATTCATGTTGCCCTATCTGTTATAACATCTTAAAGTACGTTAAGTACGTACCATTACCATCCAGAAATTAGGCTCTGGTTGATAGTATATCTGACGTGTTTTGTGTGTATGGCAATAGTCACATGGCTGCCCAGGGTTGAAAGATCTGTAATATGATTTCTCTCGTGAGACCATTCTTCATGGAGATACATAATTGCGATACATACTCTGTAAACTTGATTATCGCTTCGCTGAGCCCTATGTTCTTGATTTGAGCATCGAGGTCCTTCTCCGGATAGTAATACAATATCTTCTTTTCCTCCTAATAAAAAAAAAAAAACATGTTTACATCACAGGCAACTTATTTAAATTAGAAAAATATCACACTCTGCATACATATCCCTGTATACTTGCCTCTCCCTCTTTCTTCGCATAAGTGCCATTAAAAATGTAAAAGTGTTCCAACGTGATCTCGGGCTTGGAAGTCATTCTATGAGTTTAAGTGAAGTAATCAAGCTATTGTAAACAGTACAAGAATTCCGTTCATTGAGACATGTCAACTGATAGCTGCTGAAAACAGGGATCTTGTCAAAAGGATTAGTTGATCCTGGCTAGATCCTGGAGACCTCACTCGATAAAATCACCAAGCTCCAGGCTCCAGATTCAATTGTGTATGTGTGTATGGCATGTGCAGAGAGAAAGAAACCTCAGAAACCTTAGAAACCTGAGAGAGGCCATCCCTGTCTTTTTACTGGGGACGCATTTTCCGACGCGTCGCCTGAGAAAGTGCGCCTCAATTACGTCGTTTCGCTCGGTAACTGCACATGGTTTGCGTCCGTGCTAATGGTTTGTGTCCGAACTACCCAGCTGGAGGGGATATGCTGGCTGCGGCGCGGCGGCCGCGCTCGGCGCCCGGCAGTTCTTGCGACGCATGATTTATTGTTGCGTATAATTATGTATAATCTCACTTGAGAAGGACCCAATTGGGGTCGAAACGTTGTGAGACAAATAAATAGAAATTGGCCAGTTGAGTCGCTTAATCTCGATTATTTTAATATTTATCTTCTTCTTTTATATTCATAGTAATCCGTTCTGAAGAAGACTAATTATAATAAGTACAGTCGAAATGTTACCCATGTGTATTGTTTATTTAATAAAGTGTTTTTATTTTTATCCAATATTCTTTTGTTGTTGCTTGTAATTTAGCCGTAATTTGGCCAATTAAACATGCATAGGTAAAATAAATTTAATAAGAGTAAAAGAACATTATAAACTACAATTATTTCTCATAATTAATAATATAATTATTGGTATGCATTTAAATATTACATGTAAATATTATTATGCTAAAGTAAAAGTTTTTAATGTAAGACTTTTTTAGATAGAAAAGCATATGTATAAAACCGTGATTTTTATACATTACATTTGCGAATTTTAATTTTTAAGTTTATAAATATTTATTTATTTAATTATATTTGCAATCTTTATATATTTATAAATTTCTTATATATATACATATATATTTATTTATAAATATAAAAATTAAAATTTGTAAATATAAACGCAAATGTAACGTATAGCGCATCGTCAATTTGCCAACTCGAGACTCGGCACTCGGCGAGACACGAGACACGAGACGCGAAACCCGTCCGAAATGCGTGACATCGTGGTATGTGGTATAGCCGGCGCGTGCTAACGGCAACGCCGCGCCGGCAACGTCACAGCTCAAGAGAAAAGGAGACAGCAGATCGTATGTCTGTCCTTCTCTCCCCGCTCGAAGCTTGCCGAGTCGCCGAGTGCCGAGCGTACACGGACAGGAGAGGGGTTTGCGCGACCAGCATATCCCCTCCATCTGAGTAGTTCGGACACGAACCATAGCACGGACACGAACCATGTGTGTACCGTTACCGAGCGTAACGACGTAGTTGACGTCCACTTTCTCAGGCGGCGCGTCAGTATACGTCCGCTGGAACGGAATGATCCCGGTGGGGTGGCCGCTCTCAGGTTTCTCTCTGGTAATAGGCGTGTCGCGTAGTCTGAAAAGTTAACGGTCGGTCGGTTAGAGTGGCTCTGATAGTACTAGATGCGATAAACTGGAGGTCGCTGAATGTATGTATGTATGTACATACGTACATACATACCCATATATATATACTCATTATACTCCAATATCTCCACAGACACAGACAGACCTCTGCCTGCCTCTGCCTGCCTCTGCCTTTGCATACGTCATCTTTTTACTGAAAATCTTACAAAAACAATAAGAAGCGGCAACTTGACAGCTTTAAGGTAATTAAATACGTTTGGTGCTTTCAATTGTACGAATATTATATTAATGAAAACATTCAGATATATCATAATGATATAATCAAGTATAGAGATAACTTGAAACATCTAAAATGGACTATTTGCCTTACAGATGATTACAGACGTACAATTAGCTATATTTTGCAACATCCTGGGAGTTGCACTATTTTTTTTAGTATTTCTCTTCCACTACATAAATGCGACGTACACGAAATGAGAAATGAAGACGTGTGTTATTCGAAAAAGTCTGCTTGTGATGTAACCTAACCTAACCTATGTATTGTTGGATCAATGCGACCACGGCGACATTTCTTTCACATTGATCATAAAATATAATTCAATATGTTACTTAACAACTTGAAAGTGTCAAAACACTTGATTAAATATCGCATGATAGATAAAAAAATTGTGCTTCTCAGTTTCATATGAATATTTCTAGAAAATAAACCTTACATTATATACTTTTACTCAAAATACTCTGTTTTTGTTTTTCACATATAAATCTTATTTTTAAATAATATATAAGCAATGTATCAGCAATAAGACATTTTCATAAAAAAAATATAATATTACACAAATACAGAGCTATGACTTTTCACAGTAATTTTTATGTATATAAATATATATATGTGTATAAACAACGTTGCAAACTCATCAATCAATTTTAATTATTGCTTTACATTTACAATATATACCCTCTACTTTGAACGATACATTTTTCATGTCGAATCGTTGGATTATTTCAAGTTGAATGCACTTGAAGAAGAATTGAAATATGCAATCGTAAGTTTTAGCACCAGTCAGACAGTCGCTAAGGATGATGAGATACTTGAAATACGTTGTTCTATTAATTTCATTGCAAAAGCTGTATTACACACATATATAATATATTAATATATAATATATAATAGTAATTTTTTAAATTTATTAAGACGTGAAACTCTTTTTCGTCTGAATTATATAATATTTTTGTAAAAGTGACGAGGCATGGCAAGTATGCCAAGTATAGAGGGAAAAAGTGGAAAGTGGGAGTGCAAATCCCACCTTTTATTAGCATACATACAAGATAGTCGTACTTCGTAGGGTACCCTGGTAGGGAGCCGTCGCCGCCGCCGCCGCCGTAAAAAATATACGCGTTGAAATAACACTCGAGCGTCTTCAAATGTGGATTTATTTGTGTCACGTTCTTGAGCTTTACAGCTCACAATTAATTTTATGTTATTAATCATGAATCATGATAGGGTCACTTGACTCGAATACGTGCCGTTTGTGTATTGAAATAATAAAATTTCATGTGATTTTACCGCTGAAACGTGCGTGTTTCAAAGATAAAGCATTTTAGGTATAATCTCAGGTGGAATAATAATATCATGCAAAAGTGCTTGTTTCACATCACATTTACACTTGTGTTATCTCTGACGAATATCTTACGGCTTACGCCGCTTACGGAATTGAAATATTATAATATAGATCGATTATCGACTAGGTGACTGATTGTGAGTTGACTAGCTAGCTCCACTCCAAGTTGGCGCGATTTGCAACACGCAGTGTTCGATTGAAAATAAACAAAGTAATAAGTATATATATATATATATATATATATATATATATATATACATATACATTTAACACATATAACTTATATACATATAAACGTATAAATTTGAAAAGGAAGAAAATAGCCGTTTTCCTTTTCTCTCTCTTTTCATCCTTATAGCTTTATCCTTATCCTTATCTATCCGAAAATCCAAGTGCTCTTCAGTTAATATAGTAATATTAATCTTGAATGGGTGATACGCGCCGCATGTCTTCGGGCAAGATCGACGGAATGCTGTTGATATTTTTGTTATTTTGTTGTGTACGTTCTACTATCCAAGGGTTTCGTCTTCAAGAAGCTTTGGATACCGCTGGATGTCTAGCGCTATGTAGAAACGTAAGTTGACTGAAACTTTATTCTATATATAGTTGCATACAAAAAGAATTTTGGGTGGAAATAAATGAGATAAATGGTAAAAGGACGTCTTATGGAGTTATATTTCGCAAGTTCGATTATTCGTCATACGTAGAATTGGTTTACATCGCCTGTAACATATCTCTGAATTTCTAATAAATTAGCTTGGAAGAAGCTACGCAGAGAGAGAGAGAGAGAGAACAAAAATTCTGTTGCTGTGGCAACGTAAAACTCAATTGGACCTATATCGCGCGATATAAACCGGTTAAACCGTTAAACGGTACCTATCGAGACTATCGAGAGAGAATTGCTAATTTGCCAATAGGAAACTGACAGTCGTGAGGCTCATATATGTATAATATATCAACATCCATGCATGTGAGCGAAAATATTTCTAATCTATTTCTTAAATACATTGACCAAATACATATCTTTAAGAACTAAAGAGAGAAAAGAGCTTGATTTTCTAGAAGAAAACCTAGTCTCTCTCTCTCTCTCTCTTTTCTAGAAGAGTTTATCTATATGTCGAGTCTATACAAAATAAATAACGTACCGAAATAATAAGTATACGCGCGTTCATCGGGACACATTTTTAACACATTTTAGACGTTTGTTTTGACACCTGTGTCAATATATATCATTGAAAAGTAGACCGACAAGTATGTACATACATGGCATACATGGCATACACGTCTAATCGCCACGTCGCGTCGCGGCGGGCGTCGCGTCGCGGTCGAATCGGACTCGACTTGCACACAATGTTCAGTTTTCTTTAAATAAAGGAAGATTTACAATTTCCCTCCTTTAACGACTTTGCGGTCAAAAGCTGCAACATTGCGACAATAATGGCAATGTACAATATTTCGCGAACGACACCGTACGCGTAAATATTATTTATAGCAACGTACGTATCGTAAATATGTAACATAAATATAAATGCGTATCGAAATTCTCATTAAACTCTAATCTGCTTTTACTAGCTTTATTTTAATTGAGCTGAAATGAATTGTAGACACACACACACACATACACACATATATATATAATGGCAAAATGTTTACTGCTGTACCACTATTTTATATGTATATTGTACATATAAGCTATATCGAAAGAGAAGAGTACAAGGCGGCAGACGGTAGACTGCATAATACATCGAGTTGTTTTAAACATGTTTATCTCCTTTTTCGCATTTCCTTTGCACTTGTAGAAAGTCATGCTCGCGAACTATCTATAGATTATAAAACCTTTCAACAAACAGTTTTCAAGTGTTGCTTTTTTCTTTCCTTTCTTTTTCTTCTTTCCTTAGCAATTTAACGATAAAAGTTAAGTTTTCAGCGCGTACCGCGTACCGCGTACGTTGATTGTCGCGTTAGACATATATATATATATTACACGCGACGACAATGCGCGCATGCAATTCAAGCACGTCGAACAATTCGAGTGGCGAAAATTAAGCAGCGTGTGGCAGCGTGGACGCGTGGACGTGCGGACGTAGACGATGACGATGAGGCGTCAGTTTATCGGTTTATCGCGCGTTTAGGACACATACATAATATATCCTAGGCCATGCACCTAGCCGAGACAACGATAATAAAGCGATCCACGTGCGATATACCTAATACATATATATACTATATGCGACGTGCGACGACCTTGCGTCTCAGGTAAAATCGCCACGCTCTCATTACATTAAATTAAATCATCCGCGAGCCGCGAGCCGCGAGTATGTATAATGTACATACATACGTATTATTTGATATTATACATTATCACTGAAATCAATTCGGACGAGTCGATCGACGCGCTTTGCAAGTCAAGCCGATAAAGCCCCTTGCACAATACCAGGCAACAGGCAAAATAGGAACAAAGAAATAACAAAAAAATCGTTAATTACAACCTAAAAAATTTGAATGCTACGATTTTGGTTAGCAACAGACAATATATAGGCACAGAATTTCCAACGTGACGGAAACTCTGTGTCTATTGCCTGTGTCACTGGTTTATTCTGCATTTATATATGATTTCTGATTTCTATTCCCTGATGTTGCCTAGCATTGTGCAAGGGGCTTTAATCGATCGATATACCTAAATCAAGTAAAAATATCTAATTCTAAATAAATATGTAATTAATATTAAGTAAATATGTCATTTTAGTACTATATCAAATAAATATTTTTTTGGATCTAAAAATTTTTTTTTTTTTTTTTAGTGCAATATATGTATAATTATTTTCAAAACATTATACAAATGTTTAATTAAAATAATTGCACTAAAATAATTATATGTATAATTATTTTAGTGCAATATATGTATAATTATTTTCAAAACATTATACAAATCATAATTACAATAAGCATATTATATATTTTTTTTTATTCCTTACCTCCTTGTTTTTTAGAAGTCGTGCCGAAATCATTGTTCGCAACCTACAGGCGAGTTTGAGCGTAAGTTATATAAACTTGCACGCGAATTAATTGTTTAATTAAAAGAAAGCTGACAACACCTCGCTTGGATTATACACTGCATACATTATTATACTCAATACTGCATACATTAAAGTTGTTTTGCGACATAGCTTATCCGAAAACGAAGGAGGAAGCTGGCGCAAACGTAACTTTACACTGCAGAGGAATGAACGCGCTAATAATTAAGCATAATCCTGGAAGCTACGTTATTCAACAAAGCGTTTCCGTCGACGCTTGGGATACAGCCACAGTGGTAAATATGCTACCTTTAATTACAATTTTATATGCTACTCTTTGAACCCTTAATTGTCACCCTCACAACCCCCACAACCTTCACAACCCTCAAAATTCTTTTACTTGACACGAAAGGATCGAACGTGAGAAACATTACATGTATAGAGAATGGAATATAATTTTTAAATAGTTTAGGATATACTATATGTATAATATATATGTTAGACCTACTCCCGTGCGCGCGCGTTAACAATATAATATCAAGCTAGAAACAGATGATAAAATTAACGCGATGGCGTTTCTATTTTCTATTTGTTTTCAATTAATTCACATTCGCATAGTCGCACCTTTGCACTTTTCGCAAGAATCACGCCAGAATCAAAAAGAAATATTTCTTAAATTCGTTCGCGTACTCCCCGTACATTATATATTACATATATATCGCGTGATGCGTCTTAATTGTTATCAATCGGTCGAAAAACTTAAGTATATATATATATATATATATATACATACTTAGAGTCCTCTCGATTACGAGCGGCGCTTATGCGTTTTTGCCTCTCTTTACAAGGCAGATTTCTTCCATAGAGCAACGGCGGATTGTCGACATTTTCAAACTTGACACCAGACACGCTTTATCGTTATCGTTTACACAGAATAACACAGCGCGGGTTTTCATTAGCTGAAACGTCGGATTGGTTTTCAACTTACGCAGGTATTATTATCTCGAATCAAAATCTCTTTTACTTTGGCGTAACATTGCGCGTAATTTAATCGCATAACAGCTAGGCGCTGTATTTATGTACGAATATGCAGTATTCGAGATCGATTATAAGCTTGCGTTACAATTTCCTCTTATCAAGCGTCAATTATTAAGATCAATATTTGCAGTTGATTACCAACCAAACCAAATTCAACATATTTCGCTTGTAAAAATTGAAGAAGAAAGTAACAATGTGTGTCAACTACGAGCCGAAATTATTTTTGAACCTGTTGAAGGTAACACGCGCAATATAATATATATATTAAAAACACGCAACATATGCTTAAACAATTTCTAGTTATGTTATTATTATACATAGCAGCATTGTGATTATTATATTTTTTAGACCAGAGCTGTAACTATAATATATTGTCTTGGTCGGGAGAACATGATTTGATCAATTTTGATTTAAAGAAGGTGAGAGAGAGAGAGAGAGAGAGAAAGAGTGTGTGTGTGTGTGTGTGTTTACGTATTAACATAAATTTATCTTAATTTTATCAAATTATCAGTTATTGTTCATACATGTCTTTTCAGCCTTCAGATTTCCATTTTTCTCTTAGACACTTACGGTACAATCAGAATAATACTATATCGATCCGATCGAGTAACGATGACTTTTCTAAAGTTAGTAATGCAACAATGTTTACTTTCGTCACTCCATCGTGTCTAGAAATTCATCACAACTTAAGCGTTTGCGGTATGTACATATGTAATATATATAATAATCCCGAAGAGAGAGAATAATGAAAAAACTCATTGTATACTTTAGCGGATAGATTTTGAAAACATTTTGAGCTTTTTTATCAAAGCTCAACTGATTTAAATGTATAACAGATGCTTTTCTCGATTACATATATGTAGCACCTGAAAAGGTAAAAGGTTTGCGGACGGAGTACATTCGAAAGCGAAGTGATGGATCGTATGATGTTGCAGTTAATTGGAATAAACCCATTCTACAGCCAGACAATTATACGTTACAATTTGACTCATCGTTTCAACTCAAACCGCGTTTACTAGTTGTATCTGGCGTCAGTATATCTATTCGCGTGCTAAGTAAACAATTCTTTTAATTATAAAAATACCAAAAGTCAGAAATTTTTGCTTTTTTTTTAATAGGATGCGGTCAAAGCTCTCTTCTCGAACGTCGATGTGAGACTGCAATACGAAATCAGTATTGTGGCAGAATCAGCAGGTGGTGTAAGTTTAAAATCGACTATATCCGGAAGTATCGATAAAGCATCAGGTAGGCGTGCAGTAGACATAATAATCATGGCATTTCCATCAGTCACATATCGAATAAAATTGAGACATTTGGATGAGACATGTGCGACATAATATAGTTGCAGAGCTATCTTATCGCGAGATCATTGTAGCGTTATCAACATTAGTGATTGTTGCGGTGGTGTTTGGAATAATCTGTATGCAACGTCAACGTCGTAACAATAAGAAGCATAAGCAAACTAATATGGAATATATGCATTTTGAGGTAAGCTCATCGATAAATGATGATTAGTGCAATATTTACCTGGATGGCTAATTGTAAGATGATTGACGGTTGACTTTTTGTCGTACAATCAAGTTTAGTACAATCAACTCTTGGTTAATAATTTTATGTTAGAAATATTACACAGCTTTGTTATTAATAATTATAATTAATCTTTCACCGGATGTTAATCCCAAAATTTATTTTATTATACATATTCTGTTTTATTATTGAAATAATTTTCCAATTATCTTAAATCCAAAGCGATTGTCTCAGATTTTCGTAATTTTGCGTTCAACAGGGTTCTATGGATTCTCTTAAGAAACCTTTAAAGCGAGATTATGCAGTAGATAATAGCGCTACTCTTTTGCCTCATGATAAATTTCAACTTACTCCACAACAGCTGAAATTTAAAGGCATATTAGGCAGTGGGGCGTACGGTATTGTCAGACTTGCCTCATTGCAAGATGAATTTGGCGCTATCGCAGATGTAGCTGTTAAGATGATGAAAGGTATTTGAATAATACATGTAACATGAAACAGAGAAAAATCTGTTTATGTAATAATATTGTGTGTAATATGTAATACGCCGCGGCGTAAGGCGCATATTCACCATACAAGAGAAAACGTATATAAATACGTCCATATGCGTCCATATACATATAATAATTACACATGCAGAGAAGCATGAAAATTATATGGATGAACAATTTTATTCCCATTATGTGCAGATAATCCAACAGTAGAGGATATAAGAAATTTTCATCAAGAGATTTCAATGATGAAATCTGCTGGTCAGCATCCAAACATAGTATCTTTAATTGGATATTGCACTTTGTACGATAAACCTTTATTAGTAGTGGAATATTGTAGCAAGGGTGATTTACAAACGTATTTAAGGACGGTGAGCTGCATCAAAAAGTATATATAGTACGGTTATAAATACTAAATTGAAAAATGCATTATAGTTTTGTTTCGAGTACGTGCTTTGTTATATTTAATAAAGCATGCACGAAAGCAATCATTCCATTACATTTTGTTTTTAGATTTGGCAGAATTTGGTGAATGCCGTATTCGAGTGTAGGACTCATTTGAAATCCAATACGATATCTGTTGCTAATGAGAACACAGAGAGAGATCAAGGTAATACATGACGCACGTTACATATATGATAACAATTTCAAATGTTTTTTCAAACAAAGGATTTTTCTATTATATAGAAAAATGTGTCTCCAACTATAAGAATACGCGTACGATCGCCAATTGCTTATACGATATTCAGCAAGGTAAATCACACAGACAGCACGTGGATATAATTATACATACAGTGTGTAATTCTTCTGTCAAAATGTTTTTACAGATGTGATAAAATATACAGAGAATGTTACTTCTGCCGATTTATTGAATTTTGCTAGACAAGTAGCTACCGGAATGGTAGGTCATGCCAATATTTACAATCGCTGTATCAATTACTATTAAGTTTGCAATAGTGAAACAATATATGCCAGATATCCACTTTCCTAATTCTGTTATTTCATATAAATCAGAATACAATGGATGTTATGTTTAGGAATTTTTATCTTCCAATCGGATAGTACATCGTGATTTGGCTGCTCGTAATGTATTAGTGCGACCAGATAGAGTGGTAAAAATTTCAGATTTTGGTCTTAGTCGGGATATCTATCGAGAGAATGTTTATCGAAAGAAAGGAAATGGTAAATTGCCTTTAAAGTGGATGGCACTCGAGGCTTTAACACATCAAATATATACTACTTACAGCGATGTGTACGTATATTCTATTTCACTACACTTATATAAACTACATTATGCCATCTACTTGATTGTCTACAATGAAATTTTGGATTATAGATGGGCTTTTGGTATCTTATTGTGGGAAATAGTTACTTTAGGTGCCATGCCTTATCCTGGTACTCCCACAAATAGAATTTTGCAATTTCTCAAATCCGGATATCGAATGGAGAGACCACCCAATTGTAGCCGAGAATTGTATGCATGTTATAACATTATAATTATCTAGATTTTTTAAGTATATAAATTTTCAGTTTTATACTTTATTGTTTTTCCTTTTTTTTCCCTTTTATCTTTTCCAGATACAGCATAATGTATTCATGTTGGAATATGAGACCGCAAAGTAGACCTACTTTTACAGAATTGAAACAAAGCTTGGATAAATTGCTCAGTGATTATTCGGAAAATAAATACTTGAGTCTGTGCGATGTTTTATATGAATCAGCCGACGAAAGTAACGAGCCAAGGTCGATTAATGCACGTTAAATGGAATTAATGTAGAAAGCACAACTATTAATTAGCTCATCAAGCTCGTCGAATTTTTATTATGTGCAAAATCGTTTATTTTCTAATTATACATACAATAATTTGTGGTATATAATTTCTTATTCTTGTATACGTGTGTGTGTGCGTATGTGTGTGAGCGCGCGCGCGGATATACAAATGTTACTTGCAATTAAAAAAGAACTCAGTGATAAATACATCAACTTGGCTGAAGCTCTTTCCTATTTATTTGCAATTTTTAAATCATTAATTATATCTTTGTACACAGTATATGCTGTAACTGTAATGCATATTCAGAATTTATACAGAACTTACGATATATATATATATATATATATATATATATATATATATATATATACGCGTATTTTGTTTTAGTTATTTCCTTTATTTTTTCTAGAAAAGACGAGACTGTATAGGAATAAAGTACTACTAATAATTATATATTTTGCTTCATAAAATTTAAAAGTCAACATTGCCAACAAATTGCCTTTATTTCTAAATAAACAAATTACGAATTTAGCAAAATTTAACAATTATTTGCAAGTATGTTCTATGCAAATATGTATCATTATATTATTGCGAAAACATTCATATTTCATATTCAGTCACTTGCTACTTGGAAAAGCAAAGACTCGCCAATCTTGAAATGCAAAAATGTATGATTGATGCATGATAAAGTAAGAGTAATGTAATATACATTCGTATTGTAATATTTAAAATCTCTCGATGCCATGTCAATGTTATTTTATTGTTAATAATAAGTATATACTATTAATTGAATACTTATAGCAATTGATTATGGAAAAAAAGAGATGTTGCTCATAAAACACAAACGTCTAAATATACTCTTAAAATGTCTTCTAAAAGACATCTAAAAATAAGATATTCTAACATTTCTGTCCTTCTTTTTTGATGTTTTTTTTTAGATTTAAACGTGTTCTAAGCATCTTTTAAATTCTTGCATCGTTTGAGTGTCTACATGGATGTTATGTCACTGAGAAGAATCTCTTCTGTTATAGTATCACCAGATGTTATCACTCTTTGTACAATTTGAGATTTTCTAATAATTGTATATAATGTGCATGGTTGACCAGATCATTAAATTTTTTTTTCAAGGTAATTCAAGGATAAACAGGAATCTATACGAAAAATCTTATGGTAAATAAACTATCCAATAATCTGGTTAGTAATATGCAATTTCTTCCGACTTGAATAAAATTATACATGGTAATTGAGTCGTATATATATTTGGAAAAGTCGTAGAAAAGTCGTAGAAAAATTGATATAATTATACAATATGATTATATAATAATGTCCTTCTTAATATTAAAGTATGCAGCAAAAAAATATGTTTTAAGATAATAAATTTTTTCATCTATTTGAAATCCAAAATACGATTGAATTGTAATAGTTAGCCACACGTACACAACTAAAAAATATCTTGTTATTCTTGTTATATTCAAAAATATGATCTCTTCTAAAGAGAAAAATAATAGATTATAAATGAGCAAGTAAAAATATAAATATATTTTTCACAATCAATGAAACTTTTCATTCCGATAACATAAATTTAACAAAAATTACGTATTACTAGCTTCTGATCAGTATAGATAGACTTTCCAATTCTTTAACATTAATTTTTAATATTTCCTTTTCGCAGAACAAAGACGTTTTAAATTTCATATAAATACATATTATATTTCTGTCTGATGGGAATGTCGCCATTGATGTTTTTTTTACAGTGACAAGGCTTGGAACATACTGGCATCACTCTCTCTTTCTCTCTCTCTTTCTATTTCTTTCTCCTTGTGTCCCCGTCGCGATCAACACATGCTATCACAGAGAAAGTTGTTGCGTTATACATATGAATTTCTGTTGGATGGTTTTTTCTTTTTTCTTTTTTGATTTTACTGCAAATTATTACATAAATCTTATACATTTTCGGGAATTTTTTACATGCGTGAACTCATGGTTAATCTCGTTAAAAAATATCTCCTATATTATACATAGATATTCTTAAAGATATGAGAATTAGTTAAGATGTATTCCTCTTTTCATAGTATCAACCTTTCCTTAATAAAAATTCAAGTGGAAATGTAATTAACGCGTAATTAAGCTTAGAACGTGAACCTCGAATAAGAAAATAATATTGCCGCGTAGTTAAGTGGGAAAAAATACCAGAAAAGGAAATAATTTACAATAACGTTATTCAAAGTTAAGCTTAATTAGCCGATAATTATTCCTTCACTTAGATTTTTGAGAAAGAAAAAAGTCAACTTTGAACATTCAGGCAACACTATTCGGATTTCATTTTTGTTTCTTAAACACTTTATAAATGAACTTACAGCAAATGTAAATTCTAGAAACGTGACAAAATCTCATTACGATACTGCTGATGTATGTGTGTATGTATGTACATAGAGACTGCTTGGGCAAGGTATATATATACATATGTGTGTGTGTGTTACGTTTCTTGCTTTTATTTATATATATATATATATATATATATATATATATATATATATATATTATATATATATTTATTTATGTTTCTTAAAAACTGACGAATGATTAAGATTATAACTATGTTACTGCTCACATATAAATGTAATTAAAGAACGAAATATTATATACTTCGTAATCCTAAAATAAAGATTATACGGCAAAAACAATATATTTAATTAATAAATTTCTCTCTTTAAGAAGCCAAAAATCACAGACAATGTAGTCTCTATACCGGTATTATTTACCGACAGGAATCTCTCAATATTAATGTTCTTACTGCCTTTTGTATCACTTACAATGTTATCTATATCAGATGCTATCGTTTCTATTAATTAAACTATCTTCTTTGTCTACTGGTGGTGGGCCCGTGGTTAAAGTTGTACTTGGCCCTGCTGTCAAATAGCCAGCAGATACAGGTGTTCCAGCTAAATAACGATCAAGCAATTTAATAATCGGCAAAAATATATATATATATATTTAGCTATGCATTAAAGTTATTCATATATATTATACCTGTAAGATAACCAGAACTGGTATTATTCGAAATGAACAGATCGTGCCGTTGATCCTTATATTCTGCCCATACACTCGACTTTTCCAAAATGGCATTAACTTTTTCACCAAGAAGTAAACTTTTCGTCATGGCTTTTAAAGCTTTTACTATTTGTGCTTTAGTCGTGGCAGGGTTTTCAACAATATCTAATCGTCCTTCCAATATATTTAAGAGATATGGTACCATTTCGGCGTCCAACGCCTACGATAACAATAAAAAAAAAATAATAATAAACCATCAATAGTTTTGAACGCGGTATATGTGAAGCATGACAAATCCTCTTTACACATACCTGCTTGATAAGTCTATCTTCATTCGTCGAAAATAATCTGTTCAGCGTCTCGCATGCTACCGCGATCATGTCTCTTCTCGATTGCATCGCATGCTTTAATGGACTTATGCATTCCGTTTGGCATATAGATGAGATACAAATCTAAACGCGAGTAAATAAATCAAATAAATTAGCAACGTAATTGTAAATTATATACAACTGATTGTTGACGACAGGTGATTTACTCACCTCGCTTGTCGCTAATTGATGTAGAATTAATATAGCTGTCTTATATACCGATGGCTGACCATTATGAGCAGCCATCTGTCGACAAAGTCGCGGTATATGACCCAAGGATGGTACTTGGTCCGCCAAAGTAGGTTGCGCTTGGAGTAAACACACAAGAGCCTGTGTCGTTAATTCCAACATATCCGTCTAGAAAGAAAATAAAAAATAGGTACATAAAATAAATTAAGTCAAGATAATATTTTCATACGTTAGCTCTCACTGTATTTTTATTATAATACTTACATCGGTCTTTTCCTTGGACATTAATGTTAATGTAGAGTCCATCAGCTCACTTAAGAATTCCTTTGGTCTCCTAAGCGCCCAAGCGGGACTGGCTATAAATAATCGAAGATACACTCCACCTACGACAGGCTCGTTCGTCGCGATATCGATATTATTTTGCGTATCAGGTAACTTTAATATGGCATTTGGATTTCGTCTCTGTAACGCGTGGTATCTGAAAGATAAGATATCAATATAATTAACTCGACATCCTTGCACATCGCTAAAGAAGGTACGAAAGAAGAGGGAAAGGAGAGAAGGGAATGAACGTGATAAATCAATTTATAATACTTACTCGTCTTTCAATTCCGCAATAATTCTCGCTACTCTAGCCTTTGCATCATCATCCCATATCAATTCAGGATTTTCGTGCTGTGTCTCAAACATGTGTACACACTGCTTGGGTGCATCGCGAATAGCTTCGCTGAATAATCTAGGTAAAAATTTCGATAAATCGAGCTTAACTTTTGGTCCAGCTAATTTATCGGATGACATTTTTGCAAGTAATTCAGCTGCTGCTTCTCTCGTCTGAATATTACTCGAGTTACAAAAGAGATCAAGAATGTACACGACAGCACCTGGAAAACATTACATAACAAATATGTTCAATGCATGATCCACGCGACAAATAGCTGTCAGTATCTTTCTGTGTATACAAACCTTTCGATAATGCATCTTTAACAATTTTAGTCGAGCTCATTAGTGCGTATAAAGTTTCCAATGCGATAAGCTGATACTCTTTCAAGCTGTGCAAACATAACAACAAATGCACGACAACTTCATTTGCGGCAATATCATCAACGCATTCCTGATTCTTGGTAACATTACTGATCACTTCTAGAGCGCTCTTTTGAATTAATTTAAAATTACTGCAATTTAAAAGTCCAAATAGCAATTTAAAGTGTCCCATACACTGTAATTCAATGCCAGGGTTATTTTTGATAACATTATTCAGAGCTTTAAGCGCCATCACGATGTGCTCCAATTTATCTTGGTCCTTTTTAACCGAACTAATACTGCCTAAAGATGTTAAGTACTCTGAAGATAGTGATAGAAATTCAAGCAAGTTTATCGTGAAACCTTTGGGATTCTGAAAATTAAATAGCTCTCATTACTTTTGTCACGGACCGTAGCGGTTATAAATTATCTTGTACGCACGCACGCACACGCACAATTTTGTTTCCAACTTGGAAATAAATTTACC